ATTTATCATGTGACTTCACAGATATCTCTTTTTAATGAGTGTTAATAAAGATGTATAAGGACATCAGTTGTGGATTAATCTCTATTTTGTTCACTATTATTATTATTATTCTTTTTGGACCAATAGCATTACAAAATCTAGGGTTGGTTAGAGCAATGAGTCCATTTTATTGGTATGTTTTTGAAAAACCTTATCACCCTCCCATTACTCCCTGCTGCCCGCTCTAACCTACGCAGCCCCCTTTTTTATTCCCTGGAGGAGCATTTTACTGCTGTTGGAAATGCTGTTGTGTAGTGTATATATGAAAAGAAGCGGAGGCACTGAGATTCCATAGATGGTTCTGAGAGCATGGAAAGCAGGGTCTGAAGACAGCAATAGAGTAAAAAATTTGCCCTGGAAGTAAAAATGAATCAGGCATGTTATTTGGAGCAATTTTATTGTGTATAACTAACTTGAAGTGGACCTATCATCAAAATACTTCACATGAATCATTAGGACATCAGGTTCAAATCAAATTACTATATTAGGTAAATCAATTACTTATTTCTTGCAATAAAAAGGCTATTTCCTATCCCCCCAAACTAGACAGTACAGACCACATGGCCTCTGATTACCAATCAATACTGTATATTCCACCAATCAATACAGGTTATTGTTTTCAGCAGGTAGTGCAATAAGAGAAACTGCTGCTCCAGTGAAAATGTTTTTTTCAGTATTGCACATTGATATGGTTGTTTACATTATGAAAACATTGTTCACATATATTACTAGGAAATGTTAAAAAGTGTATAATTGTATTTTTATGTTGAGGGTGTCTTTTAACTAATAACATCCAATAGTTTTTAAACATCTTTACTCCATTAAGTTTTATTTTATGATAAATAATTATTAAACTGTAATATATATGATAAATACAATTTTAATCTATTTGAAGCAAGGCTGAAGTATGCATGCCACACATGCCAAGGAATCATTTAAAAAATGTTATATATATATATATATATATATATATATATATATATATATATATATATACAGTCAGGTCCATAAATATTGGGACATCGACACAATTCTAACATTTTTGGCTCTATACACCACCACAATGGATTTGAAATGAAACAAACAATATGTGCTTTAACTGCAGACTGTCAGCTTTAATTTGAGGGTATTTACATCCAAATCAGGTGAACGGTGTAGGAATTACAACAGTTTGCATATGTGCCTCCCACTTGTTAAGGGACCAAACGTAATGGGACAATTGGCTTCTCAGCTGTTCCATGGCCAGGTGTGTGTTATTCCCTCATTATCCCAATTACAATGAGCAGATAAAAGGTCCAGAGTTCATTTCAAGTGTGCTATTTGCATTTGGAATCTGTTGCTGTCAACTCTCAAGATGAGATCCAAAGAGCTGTCACTATCAGTGAAGCAAGCCATCATTAGGCTGAAAAAACAAAACAAACCCATCAGAGAGATATCAAAAACATTAGACATGGCCAAAACAACTGTTTGGATCATTCTTAAAAAGAAGGAACGCACTGGTGAGCTCAGCAACACCAAAAGACCCAGAAGACCACAGAAAACAACTGTGGTGGATGACCAAAGAATTCTTTCCCTGGTGAAGAAAACACCCTTCACAACAGTTGGCCAGATCAAGAACACTCTCCTGGAGGTAGGTGTATGTGTGTCAAAGTCAACAATCAAGAGAAGACTTCATCAGAGTGAATACAGAGGGTTCACCACAAGATGTAAACCATTGGTGAGCCTCAAAAACAGGAAGGCCAGATTAGAGTTTGCCAAACGACATCTAAAAAAGCCTTCACAGTTCTGGAACAACATCCTATGGACAGATGAGACCAAGATCAACTTGTACCAAAGTGATGGGAAGAGAAGAATATGGAGAAGGAAAGGAACTGCTCATGATCCTAAGCATACCACCTCATCAGTGAAGCATGGTGGTGGTAGTGTCATGGCGTGGGCATGTATGGCTGCCAATGGAACTGGTTCTCTTGTATTTATTGATGATGTGACTGCTGACAAAAGCAGCAGGATGAATTCTGAAGTGTTTCGGGCAATATTATCTGCTCATTTTCAGCCAAATGCTTCAGAACTCATTGGACGCCGCTTCACAGTGCAGATGGACAATGACCCAAAGCATACTGCAAAAGCAACCAAAAAGTTTTTTAAGGGAAAGAAGTGGAATGTTATGCAATGGCCAAGTCAATTACCTGACCTGAATCCGATTGAGAATGCATTTCACTTGCTGAAGACAAAACTGAAGGGAAAATGCCCCAAGAACAAGCAGGAACTGAAGACAGTTGCAGTAGAGGCCTGGCAAAGCATCACCAGGGATGAAACCCAGCGTCTGGTGATGTCTATGCATTCCAGACTTCAGGCTGTAATTGACTGCAAAGGATTTGCAACCAAGTATTAAAAAGTGAAAGTTTGATTTATGATTATTATTCTGTCCCATTACTTTTGGTCCCTTAACAAGAGGGAGGAACATATGCAAACTGTTGTAAATCCTACACTGTTCACCTGATTTGGATGTAAATACCCTCAAATTAAATCTGACAGTCTGCAGTTAAAGCACATCTTGTTCGTTTCATTTCAAATCCATTGTGGTGGTTTATAGAGCCAAAAATGTTAGAATTGTGTCGATGTCCCAATATTTATGGGCCTGACTGTATATATATATATATATATATGGAAGTTTCAGCCAATCTATACCAGTTTGCATACATTTTCCATGACATCTATATCTTTCTTTGTTTAACTGCAAATACTAAACTCCACATAAAGTATACTACATTAACTTTTAATCATATATCCTATAAAAGGAAGAGAGACATAATGTTTAACATGAACATTTTTTTGAAGTTGCTGCAAGAAGATATTATATATGTTGTTTATATTTTTTAATCATTATTGTAGGTCACCTTATTATTTATCCTTCTGTTTTTCCAGCATTTTTTAGTTTGCGCTGTGTGACAAGCAAAAATAGTCTCTAAATTTATAGCCTGTGATCTCTACCAAGTGATTACTTGGCTGGTATTTTATATTAGAAAAAGGTATTGAACCACAGTAAATCATGTTTTTTTCCTCCCGTTTTATACTTGTTAAGTGATATTGGCTGCATAACTTTGTTGCCTGTTTCTAGTTAGGTTAATGACCTTAAGAATATGCTAAAAGAAAAGGAATTTAGCTGACCTGTGAACAATTTATTTTAGGACAATCCTTTAGCATTTCGTGCACTTTCAAACGATCCCTGATATACAACAGATTTATATAAAAAAAATTGCAAATCATTTATTATGCATATAATTTTGTTTCTACTGTGGTTATTGAAGTTGATGTTTTCTTGTAAATGCATAGTAAAATTAAATAGATAATACGGTGTATTGTTTGTTGTATTTCATAGTTCAGATATGTGACCTATGGAAGGCTTTCTGCATGATTGTTGTAGTGTCCGTTAGCCATGGTGATGGAATGCACAGCCAGTGTTGGATACGAGGGGAGAAAATTGAGAACGTATGCGGCTCTTACTTATGAACAGATGTAGGCTGCATTGTTGTGGCTGAAGATGCCACTGGATTCCTTTCTATGCTATGTTTAAATTGGTAATAAAGAGGAGGAATTTTTGTGTGTTTACTATTCAAATGGAACATATGGCATTTTAACTTTATAGTACAACTGGCCTTGGTTTGTTAAATTTTTTGTACGAGTTCTATATCACAGTTCTATGATTAACAGTTATTTTTGTTCTGAAGCCAGTCCCAGCTAAAAGAATTAGTGGATATGATTGCTGCTACACTCAAATACAAAGGTGTGTTTTCTTTGGTTCATGTTAGCTGAACTTTGAATTTAGATAAAATAGCTAAGCCTTCAGTGACCACTGATCAGATAATATATAAAGATTGATACAACATTGAACCTACACAACAAGATCACAGCTGGCCATAGATGGACAGATATCTCCTCAAGAATGATGGATGGTTTTAATCTAACAATCCTTAACTGTACCAGGACCTGCCACCATTACTTAAACTACTTACGTGATGCATTTAATGAGAGAATGTGGGCCCATTCTCCAACAAACCAGAAAAAAAGGGATTGCGTTTACCAAAAAGGTATACCTGGAAGCTCATTCCTTGCTTTAGCATCCTATCACTCTTAAGAATGACAGCTGAGCCACTTATACACCTATAATCAATGTCTTTTTATATTCCACATGCAATTCCACATTCCATCAAATGCAATGTGGCTGTCAATTGCTGCCATAAAATGTTGGAATTTATTCTGATTTTTTTAAATTCATTTTTGCTCCATACATGACGATAAAATGGAAATAGTAGACTTTTACAGTACCCATATGGGACATAATAAAATAATATAAATTAATCAATTTTTATTAGTAATATATTAAAACATATTTTAAAGATTATTCTCAATTACAGTATACACTATATTGCCAAATGTATTGGGACGCCTGCCTTTATACATGAACTTTAATGGCATCCCAGCACGTAAGGTTCAATATTGAGTTGGCCCACCCTTTGCAGCTATAACAGCTTCAACGCTTCTGGGAAGGCTGTCCAGAAGGTTTAGGAGTGTGTCTATGGGAATGTTTGACCATTCTTCCAGAAGCACATTTGTGAGGTCAGGCACTGATGTCGGATAAGAAGGCCTGACTCACAGTCTCCGCTCTAATTCATCCCAAAGGTGTTCTGTCAGGTTGAGGCAGGACTCTGTGCAGGCCAGTCAAGTTCCTCCACCCCAAACTCACTCATCCATGTCTTTATGGACCTTGCTTTGTGTACTGGTGCGCAGTCATGTTGGAACAGGAAGGGGCCATCCCCAAACTGTTCCCACAAAGTTGGGAGCATGAATTTGTCAAAAATGTCTTGCTATGCTGACGCCTTAAGAGTTCCATTCACTGGAACTAAGAGGCCAAGCCCAATCCCTGAAAAGCAACCCTACACCATAATCCCCCCTTTATCACCAAACTTTACACTTGGCACAATGCAGTCAGGCAAGTACTGTTCTCCTGGAAACCGCCAAACTCAGACATGTCCATCGGATTGCCAGACAGAGAAGTGTGAATCGTCATTCCAGATAACACGTCTCCACTGCTCTAGAGTCCAGTGGCAACGTGCTTTACACCACTGCATCCGGTGCTTTGCATTGCACTTGGTGATGTAAGGCTTGGATGCAGCTGCTTGGCCATGGAAACCCATTCCATGAAGCTCTCTACGCACTTTTGTTGTGCTAATCTTAAGGTCACATGAAGTTTGGAGGTCTTTAGCTATTGACTCTGTAGACAGTTGGCGATTTAGCATGCGCTGACCCTGCTCTGTCATTTTACATGACCTACCACTTCATGGCTGGGTTACTGTTGTTCCCAGATGCTTCCACTTTTATATAATATCACTAACAGTTGACCGTGGCATATTTAGTAGCAAGGAAATTTCACGGATGGACTTATTGCACAGGTGGCAACCTATCATGGTACCACGCTTGAATTCACTGGGATCCTGAGAGCGACCCATTCTTTCCAAATGTTTGTAGAAGCAGTCTGCATGCCTAGGTACTTGATTTTATACACCTGCGGCCATGGAGGTGATTGGAACACATGAATCCAATTATTTGGAGGGGTGTTCCAATACTTTTGGCAATATAGTGTATTTTAGTGCCTCAGGGTTGTGATTGCCCCCATCCAGGACTGTTACTGCTATCTTTTCTTTTATTGATACTTTGCTGATGAAGACTTTTGCAAGTATACACATTGAAATGTGTCTTTTATACATGATGTATTCATAGTTTTGTTTCTTTTCATTAGTTACAGTTTTCCGAATTGGAATGTGTCTTTTGCTCACAAACTTTGAAGATCCTTTTAGACTCAAACAGTTGGCCTCTTTTAAAGACCTCACTGCTTACCCAGTTAGCCAGCCATTAGATCTCTCCCTTATTAATACCTGCAAAACCAACACATTTGCACAACAGATTTAATAGTCATCATATTCCACTGCTTTATCTTGGCATTCTGTTTATAAACAAGATAACTGTATTAAGTTAGCAACTTCCAATTTATAAATGTGTTTCAGGTATTAAAGTGGGTTTTAAATTGTGATAATTTAATAGAAGTGTTAGTCAATCCTTGCTAAGAATAGCCTGTTTTCCAACACAAGTTCCTTATTATATGTTATACAAAAGATACATTTATCTTATTTAAACATTTTTAGTGTGCTATAGTATATACATACCAAGATAAACTAGAAATCTATGGAGGAAAACATTATTTTAGGTCATCAGCATTCCAGTATTGTATTTTTTTGTATTTTATATTTGGTTGGTAATGAAGGATATCCTTCTTACCCTAACTCCTGATAATTTTCTTGATAAACGGCATCAATCAAATTTTAACATTCACCCTCCAGTAACACTATGCCCCCTATTACCATTTTACTTAGTATTTGCTCTGGTACACAGCCTAGTTTGCATTTGAAAATCTTCCCTGTAAATGACAGAGGAACACATACAATTTCCTACCATATTGGTGCATGCCAGGGGTGTACCTACAGGGGTTGCAATTACGACCCAGCCACATGCTTCAGGGGGCCCATGAGCCCCCCCCTCCATACAACTGGATAGGAGGAGCAGGGGGAATGGCTGTATACAGAGGAACCGATCTCTCAATGTTCCTCCTGCAGCTGTTGAATGCCTGCAGGAGGGAAAGGAGGAGAAGCTAGCATTCAGTGGCTGCAGTAGGAACATGGAGAGATTGGTTCCTCTATATGCAGCTGTTCCCGCTGCTCTTCCTATCCAACATTTTTTTGCTGCCCTCTCCCCCCCATGCTCTATCCTGCCCCCCCCCCCCCCCTTGTCTCCTGCAGCTCTGCCAGGTTCCCCCTTCCCCTCTCCAGCCGGCTGCTGTGGGGGATCTGTCAGAATGGAGAGAAGTGAAGGGTCGGTAAATGTGTCATTTACCGACCCTCCCTTTTCTGAATGCAGAGTCAGGGATCTGTACCAATTACTGACTCTGTCCATTCATAAGTGAAACATAGTGAACTGTGTTTACAATGTTTCAGTTTATGAATGAACGGTAAGCTCTGTATAGAGCTATTTCTGTCCATTTATTCTGTGCTGCTAAGGGCTGCTTTCTCTGTCTCAAAGGTGAGATGCAGAGGACTATTTAGACCCCTGATATCTCACCAAAGGTCCTTAATGGGGCTCCTAAAAAAAATTGTAAAAAATTATTTTTGAAAATTGTAAAAACAAATGTGAAAAATGTGAAAAAATAACAAAAATAAAAAAAACTGACATCAGTGGCGAAACTACCAAGGCCACAAAGGTCGCACTTGCAATCGGGTGCCCTGGCATTCCATTACTGGGCTCGGAGAGTCAGGGGGGTCCTTCATCATTCCTTGCACCAGGGCCCTGAAGGTTCTAATTACGCCATTGGTGCTTGCTAAACATTTCCTGAATTATATGAGAAGTCAAGATAATCTTTTTGTATATGCAAACATTTTATACTTTTTTATTTTAAAGAATCAGGCCAATAGCAGCAAAAACTGTTGTGGTATAATTTCCCATGATCAATTTTGCAGCATGATTGCTGATTAATAACACAATAACCAAACCTAATTAAATCTGTATGTGTGTTTAATATTTCTGGCAATATGAAACACTATGTTTTGGCCACACACAATGTACACACACAGATGTGCAGACACACATACATCTTTAGCTGTCAGCACTTCCATTTAAAAATGTGTAAATGTAGTGAGTATGCTAACCACTAAGAAAGAGCTATAGTTTTCCAAACTTTGTAAAGGTCTCTGTAGCTTCTATTGTCACAAAGTGTTCCCTAAATAAGAATCTATCTATTGCGCCTTTACTCATGTGTGAGTAATTTACTTAGCTTCTATGTATATTTCTTCTTTGTCAGTACTGCCCTCACCTTTGGCATATATCGAAAAAAGAACAGCTAAGCACCATACAAGTTATATAAACTCAAAATTACAAACTAAATATTAAATAATACCCCGTAAAGAACAGAGGAATTTGACCTTTATAATAACTAAAACAAGCATTTTATTAATTTCTGCATGCCTTGTCCAACCTTGAACATAACCAATGTGATGCTGCTTTATGAAACAATAAATAACAATACAAAACACACATGATGAACTTTTGTTCCAGATGATCTAAATATTAAGACTAGGACATAATAAACAGCCCACAAATCTCATTTTACAATGACTTTGTAGATTGCAAAACTATTATATTTTTCAGAATTAAAGAGGCAATCAAAAACAAATACAAAACAGCAATACAAGTTGACAATTAAATATGTGTTTGGAGTTTACAAAAGAGCTGATTTTCAAAAAAAGGAGACAAAAACACAAACAATGTTAAAGAATTTGCAAGCATGTCCAAAATAAGATTGGCTGCAAGTCGTTAGAATTATTTTTCAATATGCTATATCCTTAGCAATTTCTGGTTGTTAAAACATATTCTTCACATGCCAAAAAGTTTTGCTCCAGAAGAGGAAAAGATTGATAAGGATTGAATAGACATGACTCATTAGTATGCTTGTATAGATGGTCAAACAGATTGTGCATGACGAGGTTGGAATGGTACTAAGTGTTACAGTTCCAAAAGACAATTACATCCATGTTTTTGGGGCAAATGAAAAGCTGCTGTGTCTTTTAGATGTCCTATAGATGCCCATTGCCAGGATTCAGATTACATTCTTCTTGGGATCCTGATCTGGCATCCTGACTCTATATTCCAGCCATAAGAACACTGTAAGAAAAGGATGCTCTATGAAGTTTGGATTTAAATGTTTAATTTCAACAAAACCATATGTCATGATTGCATTATTGTATAGCAGATGCTTCTTTTACCTCCATTTGCTTTTTACAAAGCAAACGAAGGATCTGGAAGCTTGTCTATTTAATAATGTTTAGGTGTAACTTGGCATTAATGTAATCTACCGTAGAAGTAAACAAAGCTAAGAACATCAGAAAAGTGAAACTATAAAGTTGATTTACTAAAGTCAGATAAGCTCTTCTCTTTGCAAGGGAATTTACCAATTGCATAGCAAATTAGGTGAAGCTCTGCTGACTTCTATCACCCAATCATGTTAATGAAAAAATATATTCTTTTATTTTATTCTCACATGAAACCGATGAGCTCACCTCTTTATCTATCTGCTACCTCCTCCTATCAGTATGCTCCTTGCACTGCAGTACAACTGATTGGCTCTTTGTGATGCTTTCCCCACCCCTAGTTTAAGATCTGATGTATGTACTTACACTGCTTGCATTAAAAATACATTAAATAAAATACAGTATTAATAAATACAGAGTTGTACAAATATCTATATATAAAAAAAAACAGCCCCAAGGGTAGCAATCACACTCTATGTCAGACTATTAAACCCTGCTGTGTTGCTAATCTATCTCCTTTTCATGACCTTTGAGTTCCCTATTTTGGATATATACAGTATCTCACAGAAGTGAGTACACCCCTCACATTTTGTAAATATTTTATTATATCTTTTCATGTGACAACACTGAAGAAATGACACTTTGCTACAATGTAAAGTAGTGAGTGTACAGCTTGTATAACAGTGTAAATTTGCTGTCCCCTCAAAATAACTCAACACACAGCCATTAATGTCTAAACTGCTGGCAACAAAACTGAGTACACCCCTAAGTGAAAATGTCCAGATTGGGCCCAATTAGCCATTTTCCCTACCCGGTGTCATGTGACTCGTTAGTATTACAAGGTCTCAGGTGTGAACGGGGAGCAGGTGTGTTACATTTGGTGTTATCGCTCTCACTCTCTTATACTGGTCACTGGAAGTTCAACATGGCACCTCACGGAAAAGAACTCTCTGAGAATCTGAAAAAAAGATTGCTGCTCTACATAAAAATGGCCTAGGCTATAAGAAGATTGCCAAGACCCTGAAACTGAGCTGCAGCACAGTGGCCAAGACCATACAGTGGTTTAACAGGACAGGTTCCACTCAGAACAGGCCTCGTCATGGTCCACCAAAGTGGTTGAGTGCACGTGCTCAGCATCATATCCAGAGGTTGCCTTTGGGAAATAGAAGTATGAGTGCTGCCAGCATTGCTGCAGAGGTTGGAGGGGTGGGGGGTCAGCCTGTCAGTGCTCAGACCAAACGCCTCACACTGCATCAAATTGGTCTGCATGGCTGTCATCCCAGAGGGAAGCCTCTTCTAAAGATGATGCACAAGAAAGCCTGCAAACAGTTTGTTGAAGACAAGCAGACTAAGGACATTGATTACTGCAACCATGTCCTGTGGTCTGATGAGACCAAGATAAACATTTTTGGTTCAGATGGTGTCAGCAACTAGATGAGGATTACAAAGCCAAGTATGTCTTGCCTACAGTCAAGCATGGTGGTGGGAGTGTCATGGTCTGAGGCTGCATGAGTGCTGCCAGCACTGGGGAGCTACAGTTCATTGAGGGAACCAGACTGGGTCACAAGACAGTATTCCAACATGATAACGACCCCAAACACACCTCCAAGACGACCACTGCCTTGCTTAAGAAGCTGAGGGT